ACCCCACGCCCCTATCCCTGCCCCAGGTGCAGAGATGCAGTAGCCATGGGGTCACCCTTTTGGCAGTAACATTCACCCACCACAGCAGTCCCAGAGCTTTGAGCACAGTATCCTTTACCAACAAAACATTCAGAACCATGGTGGAGCTGCACCATTTGCTCATTAACTTCTGCAAAACCACCTGTCTGAGTCTGGGGCTAAGCAGGAAGGAGGGAAGCAGTTGTCAGGGATCCCAGGAGCAGCTCAGGGTGCAAGCAGTCTCGCCCTGACAGCCAGCATGCCAGGACCAGGCAAACATTTTTAGTTCATGGATTTTAAAAATTTCTCAATATGAACAATTGTAACAAACATAAGACCATTCTTTAAACTATATTAAGCAAATTATCAAACATAAAATAGGAACTAAAAATCAGTAAGATGTATTGATTTGTTATGAAATATATACACATGCTTTGGTGGAAATGAAATTCTCTGACATTTTAATGTTCTTGTGTCCCATTAGCTCTTTCCTATAGACATGATCGTGGCATTTACCTGTGTGTGTGTGTGTGTGTGTGTGACATTGTAAATCTTAAGGAGAAGCTACATTCTCCACTGATATCGGCAACCTGATTTTGTATGTAAATATATACAAACGAATTCAGAAGCGAATCATTGCTGCACATATGCTGTAACATTCTATGGGGTCAGATTGGATGAAAAGCCCACATCTCCGCACTTCAGCGGAAGGGAAAGGTACACAGCAGCCGGTCCAGACACGACTCCTTAACTCCCCCTATTGGAGACTGTCATACTGTACCGACTCGATTAGAACAAAACCCTCCACCCCCCTCTGCTGGAAAACGGTCATAATAAAAATTCCTGGCGATAAGGCTGATGCCTTTCTGGAAGGGACCCTTTTGGGCAGTGCACAGCTAGAGCAACCACATGTGACACCTCTGAACGTAGTCACCCAGCAGCAAGCCACCTGTTGCCCGGAGGGAGCAGCGACTGTGCGGGACCTAACAGACTGCTCCGGACAAGGGCAGAGGGCAACGCAAGAGGTCGGGTGATTTTGCAAAGACTTGGATTCTTCTTACCCAGCCCTCATGTAAGGAGTGATCCTGTTTTACTGGCATGTGTAGTCAGTATAAAACAGGCTTGGAATGGAAAACACACAGAAAATAAAATTCAGATGACTAGTAAAGAAATGGGGGAATATTAAAATCTTGTGAACAAATAAATACAAATGACACACCACTGTCAGTCAAGCCCAAAGCCCCCTCCCTGTCCTCGCCTTTCTAGAACTCGCGCCAGAAGACTGAAAGGAAGGGGTTATGTAGCTTGAGCAGCAACAGGAGATCATGGCAGAGGCAGTGGTTCCAGACTTCTTTGGGAACGTTTTTGGGGAGACTCCCAGGACCGATCTCACCATGTAATGCCCCTCTTCAGATAATGTCCGAAGTCCCATCTTTGCCAAACTCCTCTGAGTTCCTAAATTACCAGTGACAGCCAGCAGGAGCCCTTTCTCCGAGTCAGAGGCCCAGCTCGGAGCCCCGCCCCCATTTTCCAGCTGAGGGGCAGTAACTGCTCCGGCAGATGCTCTGTCCAGATAACCTCAGAGCTCTGCTTCTGCCCTCTCAGCCCCCAGCACTCAGACAATTCATTCCCGCTATTATTCTCTTCAGTGAAATACCTAACATATTATATATTTATCCTAATTTGTTCTTAGATTCTGATATTTCGGTTATTTTCCTTTTCTATTAAAAACAATGCTGTAGCCCGGCCGTGTGGCTCAGTGGCTGAGCGCTGACACATGCATCAGGAGGTCGCCGGTTCGATTCCCGGTCAGGGCACATGCCCAGGTTGTGGGCCTGATGCCCAGTGGGGGGCATGCAAGAGGCAGCCATTCGATGTTCTCTCTCATCGATGTTTTTCTCTCTCTCTCCCTTTCCCTTCCTCTCTCTAAAATCAATAAAGAAAACAAAACAATGCTGTACTAAACATTTGTGTCCTCCCTGGTACACATAGATAAGAGCTTTCCTATGACATGGAGCCAGAAGAAAAGTTGCTAGGTGACAGGGATGGACATCTTCATCTTCACGGGACAAACTTCCTCCCCGCACTTCAAGGAAGCGTTTTTATTCTCCCTTTTGTTCATCACAGTTTGCATGTCACTTTTCCTTACATAGGGTGTTACTAATGGCCAGGGGACCCAACGAAGGAAGCTGCCCTGGTTTCTGTTTGAGAAAATACTGGCAGAGAGTCTGAGATGGACCAGAGTTGGCCTGATAAAGCTATGCTAGGTCCCTGGTCCCGTTTACTTTGAGAGCTGGGAACATCAGATCTCTGAGGGCAGATGCTTCAGGGGCGGTGGGGGTGAGGGTGGGGAAAGCAGGTGTCTCGCTTGATGAGTCAGTTGAGTTACAAATACTTCCAGACACTCTTTGTACTGGGTACTGCCAAGACACCCTTTGTCAGCTGAGCGTGGTCCCTTGAGGTCTAACTGCTTTGGGACTTTGCAAGCTTGATGCACTGTAATCTTTGCCAAGCTGGGTTCCACAAAAGCAAAGCTCCAGCCCCCTCATCTGAGGCCCTACACCTCTTACTTCCCCAGGCTTCCGCCAGGGAACCTGCATCAGTCCCTATCCACTTTCTCCCTCTCCTGTCTCAGGGACTCTCTGTACACACACACACACACACACACACACACACACACACACTTCCATGAGAAGCTAGAATGTCTGGAAGGCTGGCCCCAAACCTATCACAGGTTCCAAGTCCGTCAGTAGGAGCCCTGACCACAACCTGAGACTCAACTCCCAACCATCTTGGTAGTTGGGAGCTTACTAGCTAAAAATGTATTCATTTATTCCTCTAGGAAATAATGTGTTTATTTACAACTCTGTGAGGTGGACAGTGTCATTCCTATTTTTCAGTGGGAAAGATGAGGCCTAAAGACAAAATAACTCGCCCGAGCGGCCGGGCTGTGACTTAACAAGAGCAGGCCTGTCTGCTCCTTGTCTCATTTACTGGGAGGCCCCTTGGGGGTGAGCAGCAGGAAAGCTGGGGATACGCTCACCAGGCTTCCTCCAGCTGCCTGTTCACGCCTTCCCAAGGCCTGAGCACCCCTGTGATGACCCTGGATGAAGGATGCCTGCAAATTCAGCATCCCGCCGGGGATCCACTTTGTGTATATCTGAATGCTGTGACTTCTTCACTCGGACCAACGCTGCAGCTTTGGTTGCATTTTCTTCCTGCTCCTGGCTGTGTGTGCCCTCGCACAAATGGTGCCCCGCTGCTCACCAGCACCTGCTCTTTGGGGGTAGCCAGGCCATGGCCCTAGAGACATACCCAGAGCTGCCTCTTCTCTTATGGAAAAATATGAAGCAAGAGTCACTCAATATTCTTTAACCCAGGTCTTTATTTTTCCTGAGTAAACAGGAATGGAGGCATAATGAACAGTTAAGGCTTTTAAAATATATGCATTTTGAGAATCCATTGCTAGTTTCATTTTGCTGATGCTATGAACTTGGGTCATAACTTCCTTTAATAGACCATTTAAATTTATTTTTAAAAGTTAAAATGGTCAAATTATTCATAATAAAAACCAGAAAAGACCCATAAAAATCCAAAATACATACTTGAAATTGCAGCACCTTTTGTATGAACATTAGGGCCCAATTATGTGGCCCTCAGATTATAACGTCAGATCACAGAGACTTCAAAGTTGCCAAAGCAAAATGGGATATTTTTTCTAAAAGAAGAGAGAAGAAATAGAAGGAAACGGAAGAGGGGGGAGAAAAGGGAAGGAAGGAAGGGAGGGAGGAAGAAGAGGCAAGAGAGAAAGAAAGAGAGATTGAGAGACTGAAGAGGAAAGAAGGAAACCGGCCCCAGAGGCTTGTCTGCGTCGGGAGAACGAGTCCTTGGGGTAGTTTACATTGCGTATTTAAGCAAAGGATGGACCATTATGGTTATAATTCGCAATCATAGAACCCAAATTTGTAAATATCTTATAAAATGTTAATGGCATTCTACTTACTGGATTTGTTTAAAAGCTACATTCTGCACTCTGCATGCTCTGTGCTAGCTAGGAGCTTTGCCCCAGGATGTAACTCCGGGAGGTGAGGCTTCCTTGGGGTGAAGGGGCAGTTTGCAAAGCTGTGGCCTAAGGATCTCATCTTGTCAGAGTCACAGTTGTCAGCTGTGTTTGGCTGAGAACCCCATTCCCACCTCCAACCTGAATGGCTCTCCCCTAAATATCACTCTCCTCCGCCAGCCAGGACAGGCCTCCCCAGAGCCCCCATGCAAGGACGAGACAGAGGCTGAGAATCCCTCTGAAAAGTTAGAAGAAGAGGCCTCCTTCCTCAACTGAGATGCTCCTGTCCATGAAACAGATCCCATTTCACAGGAGCTGGATGGTAGGGTGTCTGGATTTGAGTCACAGACTTGAAGTGACCTCAAATGGGGTAACCTCGCTTCATCCTGTGCTGGTCACAGCGCCACCAAAGGCCTGGGTTTCTAGGGTCCCAAAGAGCCCGTGAGGAGGTAACAGACTCAGAAATCTGTCTCAAATGGCTTCTTGCAGGTTGACTGGAGTGAGTCAGGGCATTGAACTCTCAGCCTGTTATGTCTCCCTTACAGGCGGGTGGTGGAGGGAGAGGCCCGAGGTGGGGCGGGGAGGGGGCTAAATCACCTTTAATTTAAAACAAAAGGAACGTCAGAGGTCTAAAAACTCCTCAGGAATTAACAAATGAGTTCAGTGCCTACGCTTTCATACACTTGGACTAGGGATACCTCGCACTTGACAAAGTCCTGCCCAGGCAGCCTTGACGTGGACCTCGTAATAACCGGCCACTTGACTGGGGCCGACATAATGAGTCCCATTTTCTAGATGAGGAAACCAAGGCTCTCTGCCAAGGCCACACAGCTTGCAAAGGGCAAGGAGAGCTGGAGTGCAGCCTTGCCACGTCCCTGGCCACGTGGGCTGACTCCGGGAAGCAGCACAGACCGCTGCATCTTCACGGTTGTTCGGTCTCTGGTTCCAGAGCACCCCGGTCCGGCAGAGGGCTGCTCCCACAGAGCTTCACCTGGCTCTCCAGGTGGCTGAGACGCTGCTTCACTTTCATCTGGGTGGTGCTGTACTCGGCCAGGAGCCGTGCGAACCTGGTCTGGAGGGTGTCCAGGGAGGACTCCAGGTGTTCCACCTTCTCCTCGATGTCCTTGGGGTCTGCCTCGGCCTTGGCCAGGTCCTCATCAATCAGGTTGTCCTTCATCAGAATCTGCCGTCCCTTCTCCTCCAGGGCCTTCTTGGCGTCAGGGTACTCAGTGAGCGCCTCCATCAGGTCATCCTTGGACAGACAGAACAGGTCCGAGTAGCCAATGCTCCGGATGTTGGCCGTCCTGCGGTTCCCTGACTTGCTCCCCTTGATGTTTAAGATGCTGATCTCCCCAAAGTAACTCCCATCAGTGAGGACCACGAACTGGGTGACCCCATCGTCAGCCACCACGGCCAGCTTGCCCTCCTTGATGATGTACATCTCCCGCCCGATGTCCCCCTTCTTGCAGATGTAGTCCCCAGGGCTGAACACTGCCGGCCGCAGCTTCAGCACGAGCTCCACCAGGAGCCCCGCCTCGCAGTCCTGGAAGATGCGGACTTTCTTCAGAGTGTCCAGGTGCACGTTGATGGCGATCTCGGCCTTCAGCTTGTCTGGGAGGCTCTTGAGCACCTCCTTCTCATCTACCGTCTTCTGGTTGGCCCACAGGTAGTCGAACCACCGGATGACCCGTGTCTCCAAGTCCTTGGTCACCTTGCGGAACTGCATGTACTGCTTGATGGCGTCGATCTTGGCCTGGAACTCAGCCCGGGAGGCGTTCATGTTTGAGATCATGGAGCCCACGTTGCCCACGATGGTGGCAAAAATCAGGACACCTACCAGGAAGTCTATGACTACAAAGAGGTACTCCTCGTCTTTCACAGGGGGTGGGGTCTCACCGATGGTGGTCAGGGTCAAGGTGGACCAGTAGAGACTGTAAACATACTTCCTGGAGAGGCGCCCATACTCTGGGTTTGAGATGTTTGGGTAGACCCAGGAATCTGTCCCGAAACCAATGAACTTGGAAATGGCGAAGTAGATGCAGGCATTCCAGTGGATGATGACGAGGATGTACAAAACCAAGTTCCCGATCCTGAACACGTTGGGGTAGCTGGTCCTCGTCTCTGTGCGGTCAAAGAACTCAAAGAGCCGGGCAAACTTCAGTAGGCGGTTGAATCTCAGTTCTGGGTAGTTTATGCCCAGCTTAAAATAAGCCAGGTCTGTGGGGACCAGGGACAACACGTCCAGCTTGAAGTGCAAGGTCTTTGTGTAATGCCGCCACAGCCTCTGGGTATCCCTGACCAACAAGCCTTGCTCGAGGAAGCCTAAAGAAGAGATAGAGGTCACTCGGGCACCAAAGAGGCTGTATTTTCTGACCACAGCCCACAGAAAGATACTTCACAATATGACTACAAAAGATGTAGTTATACACTAATAAAAGAAACCATGTCAAAAACCACACTTACTGTTACTATAGAAAATACACTCTGATATTTACTAGTCTATGATGTTGTAATTAATTTTATTCAATTAAAAATATAGATTAATTGGGTCCATTTGAACATGGATTGCATATTAGAGACAGAAAGAAATGATAATTAAATTTTTAAACATAAATGGAAGTTATACATTTTAGTGGGTCTTTTAAAGTTAGAGATACGTGGTAAAAGGGCTACTGTCTGAGATTTGCTTTAAAATATTCCAGCCAAGAAAGGGGGTGGGGCAGTTGATGAAATAGATTAGCAAAATGTTAATAACTGTTGAAGCTGGGTGAGCGTTCATGGAGATCCATAATATGCTCACTCTGATTCTGTGCATGAAAGTATTAATAAAAAATGTAGAAGCACAGGTCATGGCCTAGCTGGCTGATTTCACCACTAATGGGGCGTGAGCAGACACGGTCTAGGGAAGCGGCAATACTCCTTCCTGGCTGCACATTACTGTCGTCCAAGGGGCTTTGAAACATATGAAGCCTGAAACTCACTCCCCCAAAATCAGACTGGTCTGGACATTGGGAGTCATGAGGCATAATTACTGGTGAAATCAATCCAGGGAGCATGACTTGCATTCTTCTTCTTCTTCTTCTATTTTTTTTTTTTAAACGTTTTTAAACATGCACAGAAGTGGAGAGAATGATGTAACAAGCACTTTTTAGATGTTGGTGAGCGTCGAGGCACCCTGCGGGCTCTGTGAAACACAGAGCGCTGAGCCTGCCCCAAAGCTAGGCCCGGGCACAGCCAGCAGGCGCAGGGACGCTGCTGCTGGTCCAGGGCCACGCTCTAAGGAGACGCAGGTCGGACTGCTCCCTCTGGGAAAAAGACATCGATTTTGTTGTCACATGTTAGGGACACCCTGCTTCCCAGCCCCCTGTTCCTCGTTTCATTCTTTGGCTACACTTGAGGTTATTGAGAACCTGGATCACTCCATGGCGCTCCTTGTGCCTCGAGATTCCTCAGTACTTCCCTATCGCATCTTCCTTCAGTGTTGGAGTCTCTCCTTGCAGTGGAACGTAGTCCACAGCCAGCTGGTGCCTGTGCCCAGCTGCCTCCTCGTCTCCAGCTTCCTGTTGATCTGAGGCTGCCAGGAATGGAGCCGAAGCACAAGGAGGCTGGGCCAACGTCTGAGTCAGAGTAACCGCGGCTCCTGAACTTGGCTGAAACAGGGACAGTTGGCCCAACGAGTTGGGCTACTCCAGGAGCTCTTGTGTCTTGGTAGGTTTACGTGACTGTGGAGTGGCCGAGCCCCAGGACTGGCTGAGTCAGCGTGCAAGCCTCAAGCTGTGTACACGAGGTCTTCTGCTATGGTGCTGGTCACTGATGTGGAAGCAGGTGGGCTGCTGGGTAATGACCGTGGACTTTGGGCCAGGCGCCCGGGTCTCTGGGCCTCGGTTTCTAAGTCAGCCAGACGAAGAGAGTCCTGCCTGCATGTCTCTCCCACACAGCAGCTCTACTGAGGAAACGGGGTGGTCTGGACCATCTGAGCCCCGCAGAGCTCAGATGTGACCCAGCAGGGTTTACATCGACAACAACTACGGCACAGTGTTTAGTTAAACGATCTTGGAAGTCACAAGCAGGGCCTCCACTAGTGTATGTGATGTGTTTGTGCCAATTAGAAAAAGGTGCCCCGAAGATGCACGGCTGGGGGGCTGAGGCGTGAGGGGCTTCGCCCCCGCTGGCAGTCGGAGGTGATCTGCAGGAAGGCCCTGCTGCAGATTTGACCTCTCCTACCGAACACGCCTCTGAACGCCAAGTAGCATGTCCTGGGCCCTCTGGATGTGCACGAGGAGGCTGGCGAACTGCGCCTGCGTCCAGCGGCGGGGCTGCAGGGCGCCTCGAGATGATGGCGTGGCTCTCCTACGTGCAGGTGCTGTGGATACGGCTCAGAAAGAGCTCGGCCTGCACAAGGTCACACAGCTCTTTGGGACAAGAGAGACCAGAGCCCAGGTGTCATGACCCCTGTTCAGGGTCCTGTCCAGGGAGTGATTCTAGAGGAAGCTTCAGGCGGCACCAACCCCCTCACGAGAGCAGGTTCCCCAGACCTGCTTGGTCTCCAGCGGTCAGGGGGAGGTCCTGCCATTTGGGTCGCCCTGAACATGGCTCGTGGCCCCCGGGACCCCTGCTGATGTGGGGCCTGTGGCCTGGCCCGAGGATGCCGGGGGCGCACTCACCTGTCCGGGCGCGCACCAGCACATCCACGCCATAGAGCACGTCCGCCGAGTAGTCCAGGACCAGCCACAGCACCAGGTGCTCAGACTGCAGCTCATCAAAGCAGGCCCTGAATCAGCACGACAAGGAGCCGTGTCTGGGGAGGGTCAGTGCCCGATGCCATCCCCCAGACCCAGACCCTGAAAAGCTTTCTGTCCCAAGGTCACATAGCTAAGAAGACCTGGGCTGACCCCAAAGAGTGGGCCGTGTTGCTTCTGAGCAGTAGGTTCCGAGACCCCGGGGCAGTTTCTCTAGGCCTCACTGGTGGAGTCAGGTGAAGGGGCTGAGGACCTGCCCTTTCCAGGGTCAAAAATACGAGAATTTCTCGGAGATTAACAAAAACCAGTAATATTTTCTACTTTTTAGATCTTTATGTTCACAATCTCTCGTACAGACAATACCTGAAAAATAACCTCTTGTCCCCAAAGAGCAGCAGCTTGCCCCTGTGTCCCAGGGTGCGCTAGGGAAGGCCCCGAGTTCTCCCCTTTTCACCCGACACTTATCCTCAGAGGACAAGAGGCCACCTGTCGGTCACATAACCCCGAAAGCCCCATTTACACTCAGAGAGACATGGGTCTCTGCATCCCTGTCCTGTGGCCTGATCAGGTGGCCCCAACACCCACCAGGAGAGCAGCACTCACCCCTGCATCCTAGCCTTGCAGGCGGGCTCAGGAAAGCCCCAAGGCCCTGCAGAGCCCCTTGAAGTAGGCACACCTGCCCTGCAGGCTTAGAAATGGTCCAAGCTCTCCCGCCTCCCTCCCTGCGCCTCCTGCCTCCCCTCAGAAGAGCAGCAGCTCACCTGCACCCTAGCAGGGAATGCCCGGTCCACAGCTTATAGCCAGAGAAAAGTGCCCCTCACCCCCTGCTGCTAGGGAATGCCCTGCCCCCGCCCTGCCCTCAGATAGCGGTGGCTTGCCCCAATCTTCCTCCTACAACAGAATTAAGGCTCCAAGGTACCAGCAGGACCCTTGCTGCTGGTCCTAAGCACAGGTCCCCGCCGGAGCTTCCGAGTGCCCTTCCAGAACCGCCTCACAGATGGAGAAACTAAGGTACCGAGAGGGGACCAGGAGCCTGGGCTCTTGAGCGAGACTCAGAGTTCTTGCAGCATGGCTGGCCTCCTGCCCGTAGCCCGGGGAGGCCCCCCTCACCTGCACACCAGCAGGCACCAGTTGTAGAAGACCGGCAGGGCGATGACGCTCAGCCAGCGGTAGTACACGTTGCTGGAGGGGTCCACCACAACGGTGTCCTTTCTGGAAACACAGACACCACAAACAGTGCAGGCTGTTGAAAGACCACAGCTTTGGAGGGTCTTAGAGCCCTGGCGTAGCTTACGAACCCTAGACGCTCGAGAGAAGGCTGTCCCAGCAGTGTCCTGACAGTCCCAGGGTCACATGGGCGTCCCTACGTGGGAAGACAGGCTGAGAGGCAGGGCAGGCTCTGGAGTCCCGCCCTCCAGCCCAGCTTCCCAGGAAGCCACGTGGACTATAAGATCATGGTGGTGCCATCCCACGTGCCCCGTGGCATCCTCCATGCCCTCAGGATGCCGGCGATGGAACCGCAGCATGACGTCACCGAGGGCTGCAGATGGAGTCTCAGAGCCCTCTGGGAGCTCTGTGAAATGCAGGCCCCCAGGGCCCACCCAGATGCTCCAGGGCTGGAGCTGCCGACTCACACACGGCTCCCTCCCGGGTGCTGAGGCAGCTCCGTGAGGGACAGGATTTGGGCGCCTGGGGCGTTCCCTTGGGAACACTTTCCACCTTGCTCATGTCATTTGCACAGATATTTTAAAGGCTCATTTCCAAGCATCTGGATCCTGCCTCTCCATTAAAACCACCAACCTGGGCATCACCTAGGCAATGTGGGCAACACGGAGAGGAGAGGGGGCTGAGGCTGTTTTTTGTTTTCATGTCCAGGATGTTCTGAGGACTAGAGTTTACAGCGGTGCAGAAGATTCTTTTCCTTTGTGTCTACGTGTCTTCTTCCCCCATCCAAGTCTGTTCCATGTCCCGGAGGAGACCCGGGGCCTTCCTGCCCCCACCTGGACTCAGCCAGATTACTTGCTCACCGATAGGATTTTGCCTGTTTCCAACACTCATCATCCCTGGGTCTGGATTAAGGTTTGTGACTGCAGTATTTTCAAGTGCCCAGGAGAGGCCTCGGCTTACCCGGGCTGTGTGGACGGCACTTGTGGGGCAGACAGAATGCCTGGGGATGGCATTCTGCGGGTTGCACGGGTTCACAAGGACAGCCCCTAATTGCCCCCCGAGGCTGCAGACCACCCTCTCCCAGTAAGTCCCCCTTGGAGTCCCGGAGCGGGCGAGGACTCTCCCAGAGGGATGAGACCTTCACAGGATCTCACGCCTGACCCTCACCTGGGACCAACTCCTCTTCCGCAGCCCTCACCAGGGCCACCCTGCGGCCTGATAGCGTCACCTGGGTCCCAGGCCCTGGGTCCCCAGAGGGGCCGGGCTCCACGTGAACACTGAACCCCCTTTGGAAGCACTTCCCTCAGTACTTGCTCCTCTTGCTTTAGGCAGTTTTCCTCTCTCTCTTCTTCCCCTTTCTCTTTCCCCTCCTTCCTTGCCCTGTCACTGGGTGATACAGGGTGACATTAAGCAACTTTCACTCAGCACGACACTGCCACATGGAGGGGGTGAGCTGGGGTGACGCGGAGGAGAGGCCGTGGGGCAGGAAGTGGCTATTTCTAGCACATTGGGTGGGTGAAAGGAGGTTACTGATTTCATAATAATACGACTACTAATTACTATTAATCCTGAGGCCGAGGTAAACCAGCCAGTGAGGCTCACGTGTGTCCACTGCCGTGTCCAGTGGTCCAGGCCAGTGCGAGCAATGTCCGACCCATTTTCGAAACCCCTAGGAAGGCTCAAACAGCTGAGACTGTAGATTTTGAGGTCATGGAAATAATCCCAAACCCACACTTTAGGGTGCCAAAGCCACGGAGACTCTTGGAAGTCACCTATGAAGCGCTTTGTTCCGAAGGAAAGGGTGTGGCATCAAATGAAAACCTGGCCGTGGTGAGAGCTGGGGGCAGGCAGGGAGCAAGCTCTACACAGGTGAGAACAGTTCGAGTGGCCTGGTGATGGGGTGGAACAGCCCCCCCACCATCGACAGGAAGGTCCCCGAGTGCAGCTATCCCTTCCACTTCTTCACTGGCTGCCTGGTGAGGGCCAGAGTCATCCGCAGGCTCCCCGAATACCCTATTGCACACCCTGGAGGAAGGCTCTGGATGAGAAATAAATGTCTGCTAATTAAACACCCACTGAAAAAGACCAATACAGACTATGCAGCATTTCCTAAGCAATCTAGTCATCAACACAGGAGAGTTATCATTGGCAGTAGAATTCTAGAGGCCTCTTCAGATGTCATTGAAGATCATTCAGTGACGTGGGAGAATGGTCCTGATGTTTAGCTGTTACAAAACAGACTGCACAAGAGTTTTTAATAGTAGCTGTGTTCGTTTTGTATTGCTACCAGAACAAGTTGCCACAAACGTCATGGCTTTAAACCACCCAAGGTGATCTTGCAGACCTGTGAGTCAGAAGTGTGCTATGGGTCTTACCAGGCTAACATCAAGGAGTCTCAGGGCTGTGGCCCTTCCTGAACACTCCGGGGGAGAATCTGTTTGCTGCTTATTGGACTGCTGGCAGAATTCCATTCCTTGCCATTACAGGACTGGTATCCTCATTTTGTTGCTAGCTGCATCCTTGGTTTAAATCTCCCATCGTCAAAGCCAGAAACAGCAAGTTGAGTTCTTTTCAAGATGCCATCTCCCTGGTTCTCTGCAGCTAGAAAAGCTCCTTACTTTGAAGAAGGCATGTGATTAGAGGAGCCACCCTGATAATCCAGGATCAGGATCGTCTTCTATCTCAAGGTCCTTAAACCTAATCACATCTACAAAGTCCCTTTTGTAAGGTAATATAGCCACTGCCACCGAAGTCTTTTTTTCTTTAAACTTATTTTTATTATTGAGAGTATAACAGATACCCCAATGACTCCTTCATTGGTACCCCATGTTTCCCACATTGACTCCCTCCTCCCCACTCCCACACCCTTCCTACCTTCCCCACACTATTGTCTGTGTCCATGGTTAGGTATATATGCATATAAGTTCTTTGGTTTATCTTTTCCTGTGCCCATTCCCCCCTTCCCTTTGAGGTTTATCAGTCAACCAATTTGTACTTCTTAACCTCTTCTCCTTTTCTGCTTATCCCTCCAATCCCCCTTCCATCTGGCAACCAACAAAAGGTTCTCTGTATCTATTAGTCTGTTTCTGTTCTGCTTGTTTATTTGTTAATAGATTCAATTGTTGATAGATATGATTTTAGCCATATTATTGTTCATATTTTTCTTCTTCGTCGTCATTGTCTTCTTCTACTTCTTCTTTTTCCTCTCCTTCTCCTTCTTCTTCTTCAAAAAGACCCTTTAATATTTCATAAAATACTGGTTTGGTGGTAAAGAACTCCTTTAGCTTTTTCTTTCCTGGGAAACTCTCTATATGTCCACTGATTCTAAATGACAGCTTTGCAGGAAAAAGTAGTCTTGGTTGTAGGTCTTTGCTTTTCATCACTTTGAATATTTCTTGCCACTCCCTTCTGGCCTGCAAAATTTGTTTTGAGAAATCGGCTGACAGTCTTATGGGAGCTCCCTTGTAGGTAACTAACTGCTTTTCTCTTGCTGCTTTTAAGATTCTCTCTTTGTCTTTAACCTTTTGCATTTTTATTAGGATGTGTCTTGGTGTGGACCTCTTGAGGTTTATCTTGTTTGGGACTCATTGTGCTTCCTGGACTTGTATGTCTGTTTCCTTCACCAAGTTAGGGAAGTTTTCTGTCATTATTTTTTCAAATTAGTTTTCAATTTCTTGCTCTCTCTCTTCTCATTCTGACACTCCCATGATGCGAATATTGGTATACTTGAAGTTGTCCCTGAGGCTCCTTACACTATTGTCATTTTTTTTTAATTCTGTTTTTTGTTTTTTGTTTTTTTGCTGTTCTGATTGGGTGTTTTTTACTTTCTTATTCCAAATCAATGATTTGCTTCTCAGCTTCATCTACTCTACTGTCAATTCCCTGTAAATTATTCTTTATTTCAGATAGTGCATCCTTCATTTCTGACTGGCCCTTTTTTATGCTCTTGAGGTCCTCAGTAAGTTCACTGAGCATCCTTATAACCAGTGTTTTGAACTCTGCATCTGTTAGATTGCTTATTTCCATTTTGTTTAGTCCCTTTTCCTGGAGTTTTGTTTTATTCTTTCATTTGGGACATGTTTCTTTGTCTCCTCATTTTGGATGCCTCCCTGTGTTTGTTTCTATGTATTAGGTAGAGTTGCTATGTCTCCTAGGCTTCATAGGGTGGCCTGTTATAATAGGTATCCTATTGGGTCCAGTGGCACAGCCTCCCTGATCATCCTGTTATGCCCTCAAGGTACACCCCTCATGTGGACTGTACACCCTTCTGTTGTAATTGAGTCTTCATTGCTGTTGGCACGTCAGTGGGAGGGATTTACTCAGGCTGATCAGCTGCGAGGACTGGCTGTGCCCACTAACCACCCACCTCTGACTACCTTGCAGAATAAACTGTGCAGGGGTCCACCACACAGAGCAAGACTTATTTCAGCAGGGCTCTGGTGCCCACTGAGTCCACTCCTGGAGCATGTCGTTTGTGGAGGTGGTTGGGTGGTGGTGTCTTGATATAGTCTGATGCTGTCCACTGAGTGTGCTGGCTCTGGGGCAAGGTCAGCCACTACTGTGTTCTGGGGCCACCAGACATAAGCTACAAAGTGATTTGCAGATGGCTGCTTCTTGCGCTGGGCTTGGAGGTGCCCAGACAAAGCCAAGCTGTGAACCAAAGCTGGCTGCTTCTAATGCCCTGCCTGGAGCCACTTAGTGAGAGGTAGGGTTGCTGAGACCAGATGCTGCTTGTTCACGACAATTTAGGAAAATCTGAAGCAGGAGCCAAAACAGGCCAATCCTATGGTAAAGCCTCTGGAAACAGCTTGGGTGGGCCCAGAAGCTGGGTTGGGCAGGGCCTCAGGGAATTACCAGGGCGGGCAAATAGTATAAGCTAGGTTGCGGGAGTCCCAGATATGGCACTCGTCTGCTGGTCCCATGGGGGAAGGTCTCACTAAAGGAACAACGGCCTCTGACTGCATGTCTGTTCGGCAGAACACTGCCTCTCCAGCTCTCACCTTGATGCCAAACAGCTCAGTTCTTCCCTGTATGTCTTTGGTGCCTTTCAGGCTGCCTCCCTCAAGCTGGAGCCCAGAGGGAGTGAGTCCGAGTAAGTCCGTGTGGGCCTTTTAAGAGGAGCTGCCTGGGACTCCAAAAGCCTCAGCCTCCCTCAGCCTCAGTTCCCGCTGGTTTTTCCAGCCAGAAGTGATGGGGATTCTCTTCCTGGCACTGGAACCCTGAGCGGGGTGCCTGCTGTGGGACGGGGACCCCTCAGTCCTCTGGGAGGACCTTCCCAGCTCAGGTGTCCTTCTGATTTTTATCCGCCACACATAAATGTAGGACCAGCCTGTCCGCATCTCTCCCCCTCCTAACAGTCTCCATGTGACTTCTTTAATTTCGTAGCTGTAGGACTTCCATTCAGCTCAATTTCAGGCGGTTCTGAAGGATGTTTGTTCTGTAGTTTAGTTGTAATTTTGATGTGGTTGTGGGAGGAGGCGAGTGCTGCCTTTACCTACACACCAGCTTGACCCGAAGTCCCCCACTGAAGTCTTAACACCAAGATACCAGCAGAGGGCGCTTTCCACAAGCTTATTGGCCATGCTGAGCCTTGCTGGAAGTTTTCATTACACCAGGTTCAGATTTCCTTGTCCAGGATTTTGGCCCCTGAGTACAAGGCTTTGGCCTTCTCTCTGGCTACCAATCTGCTGAGGGCCTAGGAAAGACCCAGAGCCATTCAGCAGCGCCCCCAAAGCCATCTAGCACTGACCCCAAAGACCCACACATAGCAGCAAAATGATACTGATTTTGACTGGAACAGTTTGATCATGGAGGGAGAGTCAGGACTCATGGGACTAAGTGAAAATGCCAGAAGAGTGGAAGAACTATTTCTGTATCTCTGTGGCTAGGTGGCCCTGTTTGGGACAGTCTCCAATTTTGTCCCTTGGTCCTTGGCTGCAGTTGGACCTACTGTATGAGACCATCTGAGAAGACTTACAGGAGCTCAGTGCAGCCAACACCATCCACCTCCCTCCTCACCCACACGCCAGTCTCAGGACAAAGAAGCCTAGAGACCCCAGGGCCTCGGTCCATGGTTTCTAGGGCCCCAAGCCTTTACCTGACTGCGGGTTCAATGCCAGGTTTCAGCGGAGGTTAATATCAGGTCTGGCTTTAAATAAACACCTATTGCAATAGCTATTGTTTTGTAGCTGAAATAATTTCATTTTTCTTGATTGCTGGCATTCAGGCCTTTGGATTCGATGTCCAAATGTATGCAAACAAAACGCAACATTTCATGGCGGGAGATGGAAAAATGTTCTATCGAAGGGACAAAGGGCAATAACAAAAAAGGCCTTGGTGCATTTCTCTTTCACCTGGAAATCAAGAAATGGGCATTTCTTGCTGATATTGATGTTTTTTCCCTCAGCTCCAACTGAGATGCCAGACTCTCTCTCCCCACGGTACTCTGTGAAGGAGGCAGGAGAATGGTGCAAACACATGTGCAAACACACGTGTATGATCACCTGCACATGTCCTCCGTGGGCTCTTGGCTGGCATTTGCTATAATTACACGTCACACTGATCTGCTGGCTCAGCATCTGGTGACAGAACGTAATTGCAGCAGGTCACCATGCTCTGGAAAGATTTAAATTTCTTCTTTCCACTACCCCGATTCCACCCTCCAGACTGGCTGAACTGGCCTTTAAGAGGAGCTGGAGGTTCCGAGGGAGAAGGCCCACCGCTCCGCAGGCAGTCCAGGTCTGCGCTCAGGTGCACAGCAACAGAGGGTGTTAACGCTCAGAGTGCCGAGCCCACCCACCCCCTTGCTGTAGAGAGAAATTGAGACAAAGAGAGAAATGACTTGCTCCAAGAAGTCATACAGACCAGCTCCCTCCCCCAACTGTCCACGGGGATAGAATTCTATGGAAAGGAACAGGATTCTAGAGGGTCTGGCAGTGTTCTGAGAGGAGGGGAAGCAGGACTATTTCAGGAGGGAGGCAAAGCTGGAGCATCTGTGGGAGGACGAAAGCGCAGGCTCTGCGGGAGCAGAGGTACTCACTCCTTCTCCGCGTTGTTGCAGGTGTTGGCATTGTTTCTGGCCAGGGGCCGGCCACTGCAGGGCAGAGAGAAGGAAGCATGGGGACATGAGCTCAGCTTCAATTCAGGGGCCATCTGCCCCACGTGGTTATTCCAGCACCCCTACCCCACCTTCTGGGCCTTTCCACACAGCATGAAGAACAGAGGGTTGTAAGGACTGAAATGTTTTGTGATTCGTTCACTCTGGTAGAAGGCTTGGGGGAAGGGAGGGTGACCAGTTGCCTAGAGGGAGGCTTCTGAATAAATGGGGATCAACCAGGTGACTCCATCCAGCATCAGGCTCAGATTCATCTCCATTTCACTCCGTTTAACCACGTGAAAGTGGCATGAAGGGCACAGCCAGGGGCCTAAGGCGGCACCTGCCCTCAGGTGCTCCCAGGTAAGGCAGGTCACGTGTCTTACACACCACAGTGGACATAGCAGCAGTGACAAGGCGCTACCCTTGTCTGCACAGGCCTGGCTTTGGAAGGGCACCCTGCTCGGAAGCTCCGTCACAGACATCACTTCCAATTTGCAGGGTGAACATAGACCGTGGGAAGAACTGTGATAGTTTGTGGTCTCTCTCCTACCATCTGCCCTCACATTCGTCTTCAAACTTCTGGTCCTGCCACCCCTGATCACCCCTGAGAACCTGGTAGACAGAGGAATTGGTTTTGCACCCAACAAAACATTTCTTTGAAGCTGACTAACACAGTACTTCACTGTCAAAGGTATTATCTCCAAGTGGTCAACTGCCAGGGCACACGTGGGGCACAGCTGGTGTAAGGAAGCCAGCTGGGCCTCACAGAGCAGAGGGTGGCTTGTCTGTTCGTGGTCACTGCAGACACTCATAGACCTGGAGACCAAAGCCAGTGGCCAGTAACACCCAGCCTGACCCTCAGGGCCCCTTTCTATGATGCTGATTGTCCAGCCAAATGCCATTTTGGGACTTCTGCTTGCCCTGCCCAAGTCTCTCTCCTCACCCAGGATTATCTGGAGATTGGTTCCAACCATCTGAAAACCCAGGGAGCAACACTTCCTGGTGAGACTCCATGGACGCAGTGGCCCATGTTGCCGGTAATCCCAAACCCAAAACCACTGCACTAAGACCTGTCTCTGCGAACACTTTGCTTTGCTAATGGGACTTACTTTAAAAATTCAAAGCCTTCCTCCCCCCGGAAGCCTCCCTAAATGATCAGCTACCATCCTGCACCATCGAATTCATCTACTCACTCTGAACCTTCCCGAAAGTGACCAAGCATTTGTGATATAGTCAGCCCGGCCCTGATAAGGTCCTAGCTCAACCCTCCACTCCTCTGGCCACATTGGGAAATCGACAGTCTAATGTTCCTTTCTGTTTAAGGTTGTGGAGAAGATAATTTGATCAATTTAGCTGAAGAAGTCTTTGCTGACTCAAAAGGAACTGATCGGGTTGAGCAAGCCTCTTCTCCTCCCTCTGTCCTTCTCTTGCCCCCCCCCCCCCTTTTTCTTTAGTTGCCAACACCCCTCACCCCAGCCTGGTCCTTCTGTCTCAGGGGTGATAGCACTCAGGCCTTGCCGGCAGGAGGGGCCTGCATGGTCTGGGATGCCTGGCCCTGGGAATTTGGGGTGCCCTGCACAGGTCCTGGCCAGCACCCAGGTCCTCCATGGTCCCCTTCCCACAGCCCAGGGAGCTGGAGGGTTCGCAGTCCATGCTCATGTGAAAACGGGAGCCCAAGAACATTACTCCAGGGGCCCCCAGCTCAGTCAGCAGCCCTCACACCTTTCCCCAGCAAGAACACTGAACGTGGGTCTCCTAAAGTGGTCACGAGCAAGAAACTGCTTTGAACGGTAGTATTTTATCTCAAATATGCATGTACATTTTGCAATCTACCGCATATCTATAACCCCCACCCCCACCCCGCAAACATACAAGTAAAATGGGAGCTGCAGGAAGAGCCGTCCTGCTCCCGCGGAGGCATCGTGACCTCAGCCCGGGGCCCGGTGAGTCCATCTGAGACGCGCGCAGCTGATGCTTCTCATTTGACAGAAACACACGGCGGCGTCTCTAGCAGTTAAATAGGGACTGTCTGTTCTGCAGTGACCATGCTTATTTCCACCTTCTCATCTTATAAATCTTGGCATCACCTGGAGGATTCATCCAAACAAGCCTTGCAAGGCCCTGTTTTAAGAAGGCAGGTTCAGAGATGTTCCTGAGGCAGAGCGAGGGTCCGCTACCCCTTGGTCTCACCTGTCATCCCTCCGACAGCTTCTAGGGTCCTAGAGACCCTCTGCTGCTCAGTGACTATTGATTCAACCAGTGGTGGCGCAATGGTCTCCCCGCTGACCACAGGCTGGGGAGCCTGTCCCAAGAACAAGAGAGGAGAGAGGTAGCGGCTGTGTGGGGTGTGGGGTGGTGATGTCAGTCCAGCCCCGGAAGGCACTGGCCACAAGCTCCCAGTTGGGCAGTGGGCCAGGCCACAGATGCCCAGAACTCTTGTTCTGTAAACCTTTCTCCTATCAAAAGGCAAACACTCTCCCCATCTTGTGCTCCTCCCCATGGTTTTTAATCTGATCTGGAACATGAACGGTTCCCCTTGAAAATGCTCACCAACCTGCGGACCTTCTTCCCAGAAAAACGTATATATTTCTATGCATAAAACGGTACCATTTAGGTGCTCCCGGAGGCTCATGGTATAAGGTGGATTTGTATCAAGGTAGGTTACAGTGCAGTCTAGAAGGAGGGTCGTTCGGTGGACAGAGATGGGTGAGGTAAGCACCCCCACGTGTGTTTCTGAGAGCACCGGTTCCAGGGGACACTAGCTGAGCTCTGAATAGGATGGGGTCAGGGGTCACCTGAGGCTGGGGACTCTGGGTACAGGGTAGAACTTGGCGGAGACAGACAGAGCACTCGGTGCTCCCCCAGGACAGGAACCTTCTTCAAGGAGCGGCTTACAGCTGACGAGCTCGTGAAGCCCCCGCCCCCCTGCCGCCCGTCTGGTGCAGGTGCCCAGCCCCCCTTCGGCTCCTACCTCCTCTCTCTGTCTGCTGGCTCTTGGCCGCCCACGTTGGACTGGGCATTGCTTTCTTGGCTGGACACCTCCTTGAGCTCGGCTCCATGGAAACGCTCCAGGAAGGAGTCCGGTCTCTGGTCCTGGTGGTGTAAATGCCTGGAAGCCCACGCGTGCAGTGCGACGACGAGGCGCCACCACCTGGCAGGGCGGAGAAGTGCACAGAGGAGGAAGAGAAAAGCTCTTGTCTCCTGCCGGGTCCTGGACTCAGGTTGCACCTCAGCCTGCTGGGGCCTTTTGTTCCTGTCTCCTCTGAGGCCTGTGCCCCGAACGCAGCTTCCTCTGCAAGGACATGCTCTCTTTACGGCCTTGTCCTGTCACCTTGACTGCACAGGCAGGAGCCTGTAAATGGACATGAGCAAGCTTTCTGCTCACTGCTCCTTTGTTGCGTGTGGAACTCTGTGTTATGACTGGTAAGCACAGAAACGGAAAAGAAAAATAAAACTAACAATTTCCAAATGGTGAAAATTTAGAGCACGGTTTAAGGGAACAAGCCCTTCAATACAATTTAGAGTCTTTCCCCAACCTTTGTATTATTGTTTCTTATACAAACTCTCATTTTCTCCCCCAGGCTTGTGCATAAACTCCGTGGCACCTTGCTTTGCCCCTTCTCCTGGAGCCAGACCCCACCGGGCCTCACGCCCTGAGACCGCAGCCCCTTCCGCAGCGGGTCTTAGCCGCAGCTTCCCGGAGCCCCGCCTCCTGCGCTGGTCTGGCGGGGGGGAGGGGCGGAGAGGCTCAGCTCTGGGTCTGTGTCTGTCTGGTTTCCTGACTTGGCACTGACAGAGCACACCACCGTCCCCAGTAAAAGAGTTCTGAGCAACCCGGGATAAAGTCACAGATTGTCACATACTTTGACCCTAATTGCACTCTTGTGACCTTACCCTAAGGGAATAAGTTGAAGCAAGAAAATGTCCCAGAAACAAATGCTTACAGCTACTGCTGTGGAAGTCTGTCAGGTGCCTCCCAGCCCCACTTGTCTGCCCTGGACCCTGCCCCCCTCCACGTCTTCCCTCCGCCCAAGAGGTGAAACCAAGACTGTACCACCCCTCCCAGCCTCAGCCAACAGGCTCAGAGATGGACAGCTGAACCACAGTCACTCAAGCCACTTGGATGTTTCAACACAAGATCACATGGTGAAGGCCATTTTCAGCTTGTGCCTGCTGACGTGTGAGCAGAAAGACAGAAAGCAAGACACGCAGAAAAAAGCACCAAGACCTGAAACTCCAGGAAAGAATGGGAGGGAGAAGATACTCTCTCCCCAGCTGTCCTCATGAGCCCCACTAGCTCCGTTTCCCTGAGGTGGCCTGTATCTTACCTTCCCCCAGCCCCACCCTGCCCGCCCCAGGTTTTTCATTTGAGCTGGTTGGAGGGCATTCTTTTCCTTGAAATTAATGAACCCCAAGACAGCACTTCATTAGTAAGACAAAAACACTGGAAATCACTTAAATGTCCAGCTATAATAGGATAGCAAAATAAATAGTGGCAGCATCCTCCACAATAAAAAATAAACAGAATGAATCAACAAATTTTTTGCAATTATCTTAAGCAGAACATGTGATTATGTAAAATGACCATGGCATTGTTAAAAAAAAAAAAAAAATCGGTGCCCTGCCAGGTAGCTCAGTTGGTTGGAGCATTGTCCTGCACACCAAAAGGTTGTGAGTTCGATTCCCAGGCAGGGCACATGTCCAGGTTGCAGGTTCCATCCTTGGTGGGGGCGTGTCCGGGAGGCAACTGATCAATGTTTCTCTCTCACATCGATGTTTCTCTCTCCCTTTCCTCTCTCTAAAAACCAATAAACATATCCTCGTGTGAGGATTAAAAAAAGAATTGATGAAAGGAAGCAATGAGCCCAGATCAGTGGACCCTTGAGTTGAGTCTGCACCTGGCTGTCCCGTAGCCCTACAGCCCCATGGGGCCAGCACAGTTAGAGGCATTGCTAGATGAGACTTGAAAGTGCAATGATTTCCTCCAGGCGGCAGAGCTAGCAGCCCGAGTACAGATGTCATCAGAAGGGAGAGAGAGCCTGGATAATCTTTCAAACGCTTTTACAAAGACTCGTGCTACACTGGGAGGACCTGCCAGAGGCTGCTTTAGAAGCACCGCTATTGTTGCCCACATTCTACAGTGACCCGCCCAGCAGTCTCCAAGGCTGGCTGGATTTTTTTCTGAATCTTCCTTGGTTGGCTTTTTCTCCCCCCTGAATTCTTCCAGAATTGAGCAAGTCTTTCAATATCACTTTTCTTTATTTTATCCTCACTTGAGGACATTTTTGCATTTATCTTCAGACAGAGGGGAGGGAGACCGGGGGGAAGAGAGAGAGAGAAACATTGATGTGAGAGAGACAAATCCACTGGTTGCCACCCACACGACCCCAACCGGGGCGGGGAAAAAACTGCAACTGAGGTACGTGCCCTTAGTAGAAACCGAACCTGGGACTCTCTGGTCCATGGGTTGACACTCCAACCACTGAGTCAAACTGGCCAGGGCATTAATATCACTTTTTATTAAAGCAATTTCAGATAAAGGCAATTTTTCTTAGACTTTTCTGAGCTCAAGAAAGAATTACTCACTGACGGATTTCTGACTGTTCTGCTCCTGCCTTCTTTTTCTCCAAATCTTCAACCCACCCCACCCACCATTTCTTTCTGAGATGCATCTGCTTTCTTTCTGCTTCAGTTTCCCCCTGCCCAAGGTGAGGGTTGAGACCCATCAGTTACCTGGCAGGCTCCTGTCCGGTGAAGGAGCCTCGCCTGGATGCAGTCTGTCCTCTGGTCTCCATGGTGATCCCCTGCTGCAGTCCTGAGGCTGTCTCCTCGTATGGTGAGTGGGTCCTAGGAAATCAAATATGCAGCAGGCTAAATTGATTTCAAGCTCATGCACCTCCTGGACACACTCAGGAATGAGATGGCCAGATGCCCTGCTTAATGAGGACAGCTGCTGTCACGGGTTCTCGACCCAGGGGCTCCCCACTTCAGGTCACACTGCCACAGATGCTGGCTTTTAGGCCACTTGTGGCCTTTCCTCTCCAGCAAGCCTGACCAAGGAAAGTAGCTTGAGGCCCGCTGCTGCCATGGACTCGGCAAGAGGGGCCAGCCCGCGCCGAGGGGCCTCGTCAGAGCACTGGGAGGGTGTGTGTGTGTGTGTGGGGGGGGTCCCGGAGCTGCTACCTGAGCCATAGCAGCCTCTTCCACACTGTGATTCCAGAAGAGGGTTGTGGTTCCAACTCACCTCTGCCTAGTGAAATCCCAGCTTCTAAGGCAAGATCAAGTGCCACCTCCTTCAAGAGGCCTTCCCTGGTGTTTATGGAATTGCCAGGGAATATTTTCCTTTCTTTTAAAACCTCCTGGGGTTTTCTCTAACTGGCTTATTTCACTCAGCATAACACTCCAAAGAACTATGCATGTATGCATAACCAGCGGACACAGACAATAGTTTGAGGAAAGCAGAACAGGGGTGGGTCGGGGAGGGGGTCAGTGGGGGGAAAAGGGTGGAACATCTGTAATACTTTCAACAATAAAGATAAAAAAATAAAATAAAAAACATAAAACCTCCTGGGGCTGAGGTTTGATCAGCCTGATTAAAAGCTATCCAGGTATTGGCCTCTAGGGATTTGCACTCATTCGGGGAGTCTTGAAGAGCCCAAGCAAGACAAATGAATTCTATCTCCTGACTGATCCCAACCTAATCAGCCCTCTTAACAAGGTGGTAAGGGCTGGAGGAGGAGGGAAGAATTAATGTCAGGGAAAAAGGCTCCATCCTCCCCCGCCCGCCCATTAGATGTCTGAGTCCTTCATCCCAGCCACTGGGGGCGCCTCCTCCTTCCCACAGCATCCCTGCCATCTCCAGCAGGGGGAGCTCACCACCACCCCTTGTCCTGTCCAGGCCATCTTTGCACAGCCCTGACTGCTAACAGGCTCTCCCCTCCCTCAGCTCCCGGCATCAAGACTACTTTCTGCTGCTGGAAGTACACAGTCAGGCACCTGCTTCTTCTCCACGGCCACCTTCTGTGATGGACATTTCTCACACCTGCGCTGCTTTTCCAGGCTGGAGCCCTCAGCTCCCCCTCCACTCCTCATTAGGTTTGTCTCTTCCCCATCACGGCCATTCTCCGGGGAGCAGGCTCAGGCGTTCCTGCCCGACTGAGCAGGGAGGCTAAGACCATCCGGCTGTTACTGGACCCAAGCCAGAGGTCTTTGTAGGCTTGTGGGTCCGTGTGCTCTCGGTGCCCCCAACTACTCTCAGCCAAAACCCAAAGTCCTATAACATGGCTGCTGCATGTACAATGTATTTGTTGGAAGTAAGTACTGGACCTTCCCATTTGTCTGAGTCTGGCATGCAGTGGAATAGCCTTTTTCCCCAACTCCATCTCATTCACAAACACATACACGACTGTACGACATTTACTGACTGCTTACAACATGTCAGCCACATACATGTTATCATGTAATCCACATAACAACCCTCTAAGAGAGGAAAACAAGGTTCAGAGAGGTTAAGTACCTTTCCCAAGGGCACACAGCCAGGGGTAAAGCTGAGATTTGAATGGTATTCCATCCCACTTCAAAGCCTGTTTGCCTGCACGCCATGAAGCTGCCCTCTGTGTTTTCATATACAGTACCAGTTAGAGCAGTCGAACTGGCCATGCTGAGACTGAACCCTGTGGCATGCGACGAGAGACAGGGCTGCGATCCGCCCGGCTGCACCAGGTGAGCATGGCTCTTTATTTCCACCTCGTTGGCCTCTACCTCTGTAACCACAGGGGACCACTCACATCTCACCCTTGTACATATGGAGGCCCTGCCATACCCTGCTGCAGTCCGGAAGCCACAATGCAGTTGCCCTTCTAATGTCCTGTATGTTACAAAGGTGGAGTGCACACTCGCAGGCACCGGGTCAGTCCCGGGGGGAGGCAGGGGGACAAGTTGAGCCTTGTCTCCCTGAATCCTAGCAGCTGGCACATGGCGATGGGAGGTGGAGGCACCAGGTGGAGGTGAGGACAGCCAGCTGGAGGGTCTGGCGGCAATCTCAAGGGTGGGGGTGTTTGGTCCTCACCAGCCGCTCCTCGGGGAGCTCTCGGCACCGAGCAGTCTGCCCAACATTTCTGCTGAGCCTGGTCTCTATAAATCATGTGGGCAGTCCTGAGACCAGATTTAGTTGCATTAGCAGCAAAGGAATCAATACCCATGACATCAGTGCTTGTGGGCTGGTGAGAAGGGGGAACCCACCCCCATTTCAAAACAGGCTGGCTGCTGGCCTCAGTGGAGCTATGGAGTGGCCTGGACCACGACACCCACTCGAGCAGGGGCAGCAGAGCGAGAGGCCTAGGTTGCGTCCCTCCCCGCACCTTAGCCAGCTGTTCTGTGGGCTGGTCATTCACCCTCCCTGAGTTTGTTTCTGGTCTTCAGAAAGGAAAGAAAGGAAAAAAAAAATGGTGATTTTATATTGATTTAAGTGTTATTCACAGGCTCAAGTCCAGAAGGGCACACTTAGCTGTGAATAATGGGGGAACCTCACATAACGTAAGTTCAGGGGACCCAAGGGAGCCTTTCTTCCCCATGCATCTCCACACTTGGTCTTTGATGCTTGGGTTTCTACTCTGATGTATTTCTTCTGGGCCAGATTCTCTATCTTGTTAAATGCCTGGAGTATTTAAACAGTAAACCCAATTAGTTACTCTTCTGAGATGGAAGGGGAGACAGGGAAGAGAGGAGCGGAAATCAATGAGGTGACATTTTGAGTCCCCCAGGACACACAGGTGCTGAGAAAAGGGAGACACTTTTTCTTTTCTTTATTGATTTTAAAGAAAGAGGAAGCGAGAAGGAGAGAGAGAAAGAAACATCAATGAGAGAGAACATCGATTGGCTGCATGCCCCCCACTGGGGATCGGGCCACAACCTGGGCATGTGCCCTGACCGGAAATGGAACTGGCAGCCTCTTGGTGCAGGGTCGATGCTCAGCCACTGAGCCACACCGGCCAGACTAGGGGAGACACTTCTGATAATCAATGAAAGAATGGGACCTAGAACTTCCCAGGGAAATTCAGAGGCAAGAGAGACTGGGGACCTGCCCTGCCTGGAGCTGGCTGAGGGGCCGGGACAAAGACTTGACAGGGCCTTAGTCTCTGCAAAATGGCAGATCAGGCCAGGACAGCCCTGAAGCCACCTGCCTTCCCACCTCTAGGTGGTGACGGAGCTGTGGCAGGAAGAAGCCACGAGCTAGGTAATTAGCAAGAACAAGAGCAAGGAGTGCAACACAGTGAAGTGACCTTTTTTGAAAGACAAGGTACTTTCCAGTGGGCAATGCTCATCTTCTACATCTGTTTATAAAAAGGAACTGATGTCCCTGAGGTAGTTTCCTCTGCCATTCAGAGAGGACACAACTCTCATCAGAACCGGAAGTGGCAATTAACTTTGCCCTCTGTGGGGCATCTGGTGCCTTCCTCCAGTGACTGGGCACATGAAAGTAAACAGAAGTGACCTTTTAGAACAAGAGTGGAGAGCGCCATTTCTCACTTTTCTTGTCCTCCTTCCAGGCCCCTGGGAACGTAAGTGATCAGCACGCACTGCCAGGGGCCGCACTTGCCCGGAACTGCAGCCACTGCCTTCCTGCCTTCTGCTGGGGGAGCAGCTGAATATGGTTTTCTTTGCTGACAACCGCCCGGGGCTCTGCTCATGGATCAACACGGAGAAGGTGTGTCTTTTGCAGGACACAGACCCTCAGGCCCCGAAGCTGACCTGAAATAACTGCCCCAGGACATTGGGCTGGGACCTGGGGTGTCCTTGGTCCCAGCTGCAATTTTCTGTCTCAGAACCTGTCTTTCCCTATTGTAGCATCTTCAAAAATATACCAGGCAGCTCTTCATGGAGTCAACTAAACAGATCTAAATAGAAAAGAAAAACTCAAGACTTTTTATTTCTGGTGTTTTCAGGGAGTAAATTTAATTTTTTTTGTTCAAGTAAAATGTTTTCATTCTTCCTTATGACAGTTCACCAGGAAAATGACCCCAATGATTTAAAGAGAAACAGAAACCTGTGTCTCCGCTTAGGTAGAAAACCTGTGGGCAGGGCTGGGGTGGGGGTGGGGGGCGCTGGTGTCCACCCTGTTGGGGGAGCTCAGCAAAGGGCCACCCGACACACAGGCCCTCAGTACAGCTTCTGGGTATCACTGAGGATAAAGAGTAATTAATAGTTAAGGACACACAGTCACAATTATTTCTCCCTACAGCTTTCTAAAAGGATTTGAATTTCAAGGCAAGGATCTGGGGTTGTTCAAATACCATTTCCTCTCTAAGACAGTAATTTGAAACTTTAAAATGTGTCTGTGTATGTGCCAGAGTCCTGTGTTCAAATAAATGTTACAGGAAAATTAGTCTGTGACTAGACAGATGCTGGGCAGCGTTGGGGAGCAGGGGAGGGGCCTGGACCCCACAGTTCCACTCTCAGCCTGAACACGGTTCTCAGTCCTTGGTGATGTCATGGGACCCATTCTGGAAACTTCCCTCCGTCAATCGACTTCTGCCTCCATGAGACAAATCACAGCTTCTCTTCCATGAAAGGAGCACGCTTTCTCTCTCCGTTTGCAACCCATGCAGTATTTCCAAGGGGTTCTGTATTAATCTGTCAACAAGCTTTTTCCAAATGAGCAGTTGGGCGAAGCCTCAGATGGGGCTCGGCGGGGCCTGGCTAGTGGTCAGGCTGGGAAAGCGTGCCTGGGACACAGGCCGGAAAGTGCCAGTTCCAGATGTCGGAACAGCTGGGGCTCTGAGGTCAGAGGAGGAGAAGGCTTCCCGCCTGGGATTCCAGAGAAGGCCCGCAGGAGGGGACTGACAGTGAGTGTTCACAGGCGCTGAGCCCGGAGCTCTGACCCGTTTGAGCCCCACTGCGCCCCCGAGGTACGAACTAGCGCACTGTGCAGATGAGGAAACGGAGGCTTGGGGCGGTTACGTGTCTTTTCAGAGCTGGTCAGTTCCGGCCATTGTTCAGGTCAACGGTCTGACCTGTGCTGTTAGCCATCGTGTTGGCCAGGGCACAGGGGACAGGGAGACAGAGGAGGGCATTCTCACCCACGAAGACAGCAAATAACACTACTGAAGGGCATTGATTCCGAGCCCCGACCTGTGTGGCTGACCGACCATGAGAGACCGTGAACCCGGCATGCGCCCCCAGAGGCCCATCCCGAGGTGTCAGTGAGCTGCAATTCCGTTCGCAAAGGCTCCCCTTCCAGGGACCTCAGGAGTGCTCCTGAACAGCCTCACGCAGGCCACCGGCCGAGGACGAGCCAGGACAAATCAGGCAGAGCTGGACCACGGTAGTGTCTGGTCACGCAGCCATTCTGGGCAAGCGCCCCAGCACCACCTGGGCCCAGAGAGTCGGCAAACTCCAGGAGAAGCCCTGGCTGTGCCCCCCAACCCCCCGCCCCGAGGCGAAAGGGAGCAGTGGGGGGAAGCTCCCTTTCGCTTTGAATTCTCCCTGATCCTGGCAGCCTCTGTCCTCCTCCCATTGGGCCCAAGAGCCCAGGAGCCAGATGCTGTCCAGAGAGCCTGACTGCGCTACTGTGCCCGGGCCGGGCCTTTTCTCCCCTCCCCCAAACTTCTTCAGAGCCCGCCTTGGAGGGGTTTTATTATTCAGATATGATAAGGAAACTACTAATGTATACCAAAGTATTAATAGCAGGTAACTGTCCGAATAATATTCTTTTTCCTTTCAAATGAGGGGCAATGCCTTACCCTAAGGGAGTAAGTCCCCAGTGCGGGGACACAGGTATTGACAGGCCAGTTTGGAGGCGGCAATTAGGAGGGTGGAGATCTCTGATGCCCCCGAGGCATCTCACATTTCCTAGGGCCCCAGCACCCTAAAACGGTTGGGGGAATAAATCGCTGTTGGGGTGCATTGAGATTTTCCTCCCTTTGCCTGAATCCCAGAAGGCGAGGTCCAAGGGCCACATACGTTTTCAACAATAGGAACTCACTCCCTTCGGAAATTGTCCATCACTTATTAGCAGAGTTTGTTAAGGAGCTGGAACCAAATTCCGAGACAGAGAAGAGACAAAGGTGCCCTGAGTGAGGAGACATGATGGACGCGGGCCCAGTGCCAGGGGTGCGGGAGCGAGAGACGGGCATTGCATGCTGCGGCCGTCAGATGATACGCAGATGATACGCAGTTATGGTGGGAGGGAGAAGTTTTCAGGGTTATATATGTAGGACCAAAATAACATAAATATTGGAAATAAAGTTTCTCATGTTCCACTCAGTCAACTCACTGAGAATTTAAGAAACATAAAAATGTAAGTCCAGCCGGGCAGGTGTGGCTCACGGGTTGAGCGTCGACCCTGCACCAAGAGGTCGCTGGTTCGATTCCCGGTCAGGGCACATGCCCAGGTTGTGGGCCAGATCCCCAGTGGGGGACCTGCAGGAGGCAGCCAATCGATGTTCTCTGTCATCAATGTTTCTATCTCTCTCTCCCTCTCCGTTCCTCTCTCTCTAACATCAATAAAGGAAAAAAAAATATTTTTTTAATGTACATCCACTTGCACTAAATAGACATTCTCCTTTTTCCTCACTAGTATATCAGGAACTTGGAAAAGAATTCGGCTCCATTTTGTAGTTGAAGAAACGGAGGCATGGAAAGGTTAAGTGAATTTTCCCAGGTCCCCTAGTAAGTTAGCAGTCAGGCCAGAAGTAGAACTCAGGACCCCAGATTTCCCTGTATGTTGGGGTGCCACTGATGGAGCTCATGGCTTTGCTGGCCCAGCCCACTCCCTACAGGCCCTGCGCACAGCATGAATCCTGGCCTGCCCCTGGCAGTGCGGGTAGGGCATCCCCAGCGCCCAGGACAGCAGCTGGTGCACAGACAGTCCAGGGCATGTTTGATGTCTACCTGGGATAGTGTGGTAGTTTGGAGATGTTTCTACAGTAGAACAGAATCTGCCTCATTTGAATCTTCATTTTGTTACTTCCTAAAGTGATGTAACTTGTCCTGGCTGGTTTGGCTCAGCGGTTAGAGCATTGGCCTGCAGTCCGGAGAGAGCCGGGTTCGGTTCCCGCTAGGGGCGCGTGCCTCGGTTGCAGTTTGTCCCCGGCCCTGGATGGGTCATGTGGGTGGCAGCCACTCGATGTGTCCCTTTCACGTCGATGTTTCTCTTTTTCTCTCTCCCCCTCCCACTCTATCTGAACAAAATATCTAAAAAATGTCCTCAGGTGAGGATTAAAAAATAAAAAAATAAGGCGATGTAGCTTTTTTGAGGCTTACTTTCCCACATCTATAAAACAAGAACAAGAACCATGTCAGTGTGTGTGGGCTGTGAGGATTCAGTGAGGAGGAGAATGGAGTTGACCTGTGGTAGGCCACGGGCAAGGCATTCTTCTCCCATAGTATAGATCAGCCATGGGAATAACTTTTTCAAGACATAAAATAAAAAAAAGTCCATCTCACCTGCTGAGGCCGTTTTCAAGGCGATCAAGATCTCTGTCTGTGGTCCTGACCCACGGGCGTGGCGGGTGGGCGTGGCAGTATTGGGTGTTAATCTTGGCCATCTTCTTGCCCCTAGATGGCTGCTGAAACATGAACATGGAACAGATATGATCAGGACTCGAGATGGGAAGTAACTGCAGACCCAGCTCCTCCTCACATGGAGGGCTATTCCCCAGGCAAGCCCTCCACTTTCTCCCACCTTTTCACCGGGGAAAAGGTAAGTGCTGATCCAGCCAGTGAATGAATGAATGAGTGGCCAAGGTGCTACCTGATGTAAGAAAGCTACAAGCTCTCATTCTCTGGGGCAATGCACTATCTTTCTTGACTCTGGTTTTCTCATTTACTTATTTTTATCTCATAATTTTTCTCATGTTTTTATAGCTAAACAAAACATAAACATCTAATAATACTTGACATTCATAAAAACTTTACAGTGTGATATTAAACCCAGTACACGTTCATCTCACTTAATCCTCACAATAACTTCAGCAGATGTTTATAATTTTTATCCCCATTCAAAAATGGCTACATTGAGACTCAGAGATGTTAAGCAACTTGTCTAAGCAAAGAAATAGATAAAACCTGTCATTGGCGTCCTGGCCCAGTGGCTCAGTTGGTTAGAGCATCGTCCCATACACCAAAATGTTGCAGATTCGATTCCTGTTCAGGGAACATACCTAGGTTGCGGGTTCAATCCCAGGTCAGAGTGCATACAGGAGGCAACTGATTGATGTATCTCTCTCTTCTCCCTCCCTTCCTTTCCTCCTCTCTAAAATCAATTAAAATAACCATTAAAAAAACAAAAACAAGAGAAAACACCTGTCAATGTCATCATCCTGGTGCCAGAAATCAGACCATGAATACTTCCCTCTGGCAACCCCTAAAGGTGCCCTGGCGGTTGATGCGGAGAGAACGGTGCTGAGTGCAGGGCTGTGCGAAGCCCACACAGAGAAGACTGACCAGTTCCTGCTGTCTGGCCAGAGCAGGGAGCCCAGATCACTGCACCCAGGCCAGCTCACCATGAGAGGCTCAGGGAAGCCGGTGGCTCGGAGGCTTATGGTTCATCTCTGATGTTTGTCAGTTTAATGTTAAATTTTATAATTTTCTCAATGTTTCAGTGTTTCAAAACTTCATTTATATAACAATGAGTTTCTTGTTAATCACAAGACATACAATGAAATGTAAGACAAAGACTGTTCTCAAGGATCTTGTACTCCACTAGACAATGGATCCAAGGGTCCTCAAAGGACTTGGTTGTGTCAAAGGACTTGGGCTTTTCCCAGAGCCCAGCAGGGCTGTGGTCATATATGTAAAGGCCCCTCTGGCTGCAGTGGGGGGACATGTTCAGGGACCATGAGTGGATATGAGATGAGCAGCCAAATGCTGCAGTATCTCAGGGGAGAGAGGGTAGTTGCCTGAACTGGATTTGTGGTAGTGAATCACATAAATTGAAAAACTACCAAATAGATAAAATCTCTGGGACACTGAATCTCAAGTACAAGGGGGAAGGTGGCTTCTCAGGTGAGGAGCAGTCATACTATCTATTTAACATTACTCAACATTCACCACATGTTAGCCATGGTGCTGTACACATTTCAGCATGTCCTTGTGACTTGCGTGTTCTGCTGCAGACCTTTAACTCTCCCCACTGAGCTTGGCCAGGAATCTAACACGGCTCACCAGCATTCCAGTGATCTTGTACTCTCCCCACTCCTTGAAAGCAAAAAGTATCTCCTTTTACTTAAAAAATATTTTCCCGCCCTGGCTGGTTTGGCTCAGCAGTTGGAGCATTGGCCTGCGGACCAGAGAGTTTTGGGTTTGGTTCCTGCTAAGGGCATGTACCAAAAAAAAAAAAAAATGTTTTCTCTCCAAACACCCAGATATACACATGGAAGGTCATAGGCAGCATAAGTGGAGAAGGAACCATTGAGTGATTATAATGAAACCAATAATCACAGCTGTATATTTACTCTTTGCCTGGCACTGTCTGAATAACTTTAAATGTGTGTTAACTCATTTGATCTTCACAATGCTACTGTGAATGAGTCACACATTTCTATTCCACTTAAACAGTTGTGCCCTGGCTGTGTAGCTCAGTTGGTTAGAGCATCGTCTCAATATGTCAGGTTAGGGGTTTGATTCCCGGTCAGGGCACATACAAGAATCAACCAATGAATGCACAAGTAAATGGAACAAATTGATCTCTCTCTCTCTCTCTCACTCTCACCTTTCCTCTTTAAAATAAATTTTAAAGTTTTTAAAAAACAGTTCGGAATTTATGAGGGAGGAGCAAGTAAGCAACAAAGAAGGTCATACACAAAGCCCATTCTTCTGAACCACACTGAAAAGTAGTAAAACAATCTCTATTTGCAGAGACATAATCTGCTACATAGAAATTCTAAGGAATCTATTTAAAAACGGTTAGAACTAATAAATGAGTTTAGTAGTGTGGGGCAATATACAAAATCAGCATACAATAATCAATTGTATTTCTATAAACTAGCAATGAATAATAAAAAGTTAAATCAGAAAAACACACCATACACAAAAACTAACTCAAAATGCATCATAGACTGAAATTTAAGGGATAAAAGTATAAAATTCCTAGAAGAAAACATAGGAGTGAATCTTCATGCCTTGGGTTAGGTCAAGGTTCCTTAACTATGGCACCAAAAGCATAAGTGACAAGAGAAAAAATAGACTGGACTTCATCAAAATAAAATAAAATAAAATAAAATAAAACACCTGTGTGCATCAAATAACACCATCAAGAAAGTAAAAAGGCAGCCCACAGAATGGGAGAAAACATTTTAAAATCATATATTGGCAAGGAGCTTCTATCCAGAATACATAAAGAGCACCTACAACTCAATAATAAAAAGACAACCCAGTGAAATAATGGGCAGAGGACTCAGTGAGTTTTTCTCTGAAGAAGATGTATCAATGACCAACGAGCACATGAGGCGATATCTAACATGTTTAGTGTGGGATTGTAAATTGTGCCACTTGGGAAAACCGCTGGGCAGTTCCTGTAAATGCTAAAAACATAGTTACCAAACCCCAGCAATTCTCCTAAGTATTTACCGAAGAGCAATGAAAACATACACCCACACAACTTGTGCATAAATGTACATGGCAGCACTATTCACACAAGCCAAACGTGGAAACGACCTAACTCTCCATCAACCGATACCTGGAGGTATATCTAGCAGAATGTTATTCAGCTGAAATGTTATTTTGAGACAGGCCGAGCCTCTCCTAAGATGGATGGGAATGTTCTGCAGTTAACTTTCGGAGCGTCTTCTAGACAAAATTAAAGTTTCTCTGTAGGTACTCCTCAAACCAATGCGCCTGCGCCAGTCCCTGCCAGTCCAGCGCAGAAATCGGAACAAACACATCCACTCTGCGCCTGCGCGGAAACTCCGGAGTAGGCCGCACCCGCAGCAGGTGGGGAGCCTCGCTCTCTGCCCGCTTAGGCCCCTTGATGCACCAAGTTCCCTCCCTTTCTCCCTTCCCTCCACCTTCTTTCCAGCAAACCTCTTCTTTTTAAAAATCTGTTTTGTCTCCTATCTTGATTTCTATCTTGGGTTGGGGCAAGAACCCCTTTGCTGGTGAAAATTTGACAACAAAAAAGAATAAAACATGGGTGAAATTGGAAAACATTATGCTAAGTGGGAAAAGCCAGACACAAAAGACCACATTTGTATGATTCCATTTGTGTAAAATATCCAGCATAGGCAAATCCGGAGCTGGAAAGTAGGTTAGTGTTCCTGGGGCGAGAGTGGCGGGATCAACAGAGAGCGACTGCTGACCTGGCCAGTTTGGCTCAACGGTTGAGCGTCGCCCTGAGGACCAGAGAGTCCCGGTTTCGGATCCCGCTAGGGGCACATACCACCAAAAAAAAAAAAAAAAAAAAAAGAGAGAGCAACTGCTAATGGCGACAGCGTCTCTCTGGAGGTGTTGGAAGTTTTAAAACTGTACTGTGGTGATGGCTGAGCAACTGAAAATCACTGAAATGTATACTTTATTTTTTATCCTCACCCGAGGACATTTTTTTGTTCAGGTAGAGTGGGAGGGAGAGAGAGGAACTGAGAGAGAGAGAGAGAGAGAAACATCGATGTGAAAGGAACACATCTGGGGACAAACTGCAACCGAGGTACGGGCCCTTAGAGGGAACCGAACCCGGGTCTCTCAGGACCGCAGGCCGACGCTCTTACCGCTGAGCCAAACCGGCCAGGGCTGAAATGTATGCTTTAAATGGATGCCTTTTATGGCATGTGAATGGTATATAAAAAAGAAGTAATATTAAATCTAAAATCAAAACACTTTTAAAATGCAAAATTCAGAATGTTTATTAACAATAAAAATAAAATAATAATAATAACTGCAACAACATTTTTGAGGGCTTACACTATGGCAGGCACTGTTCTACCTGTATTGACTCATTTAATTCTCACAATAACCCCAGGAGGTAAGTACTTTTCTCATCCCTATATTATAGATGATGAAACGAGGTACACAGTTCACACAATCTAATTGAAGAGCCTGCAAGCTGATGCCCCTGCCTCTAGATAAGCAAGGCCGATTTCTGGGGCCAGTAAACATCAGAGGCGCCTCCATTTGCCTGAGAAAGGCCCAAAGGGAAGCTCCAGTCTTAGACCACAGGATATGTCCAGCTGTTCTCAGGTCGGAGCCCCCAGGTGAGGGGTATGGAGGTCAGAGTCCTTGTTCTCTCTTCTCTGTGGAGCAATGTATACATATAGGCAACCCCAGGAATGTCCCTGTACCAAAAGAGAGGAGTCTGAGGTAGAAGAGTTGAGTCTTGTTTCCCAAGGAAACCTGTGAGCTAGAGCTCTCCTTCCCGAACACTGTGTGTTTATAACACAAGCAAAGGAAGCAGGCATGTGCCAGAAGCAGGTTTTCATGTCCCGCCTGAGGATAAAAATTAACATTGTTCCCAAGAACAGGAATAGATTTGGGGTGAAAGAGAATATGCTGAAATTGTAACAAGGTAATTAATTATGTTACTCAACCACCAGACAGAGGACCAGCTCATGCCTAG